CTATCTAATCTATCTAATCTATCTAATCTATCTAATCTATCTAATCTATCTAATCTATCTAATCTCTCTAATCTATCTAATCTATCTAATCTATCTAATCTAACCTATCTATCTAATCTATCTAATCTATCTAACATATCTATCTAATCTATCTAATCTTTTTAATATATCTATCTATCTAATCTAATCTAATCTAGTCTAATCTCATCTCACCTAATCTAATCTAATGTCATCTCATCTCATCTCATCAAATCTAATCTAATCTAATTTAATCTAATCTAATCTTATCTTATCTTATCTATCTATCTAATATCTATTCGTTCATTTATTTGCTATATAATCTATATTTATACATTACATTGATATCAAAACCTCCGACTGGGCCAGTGATGAAGCGTTGGCACCTGGGAGAATTACTGAAGTAGCAGGAGACTTGCTGTTTATGCAGAGCATTGGCACTGGAACAACGGACCCTTCTGTGATGAACCCAATAAGGGAACTGCAATGATGCTCTGCACTGCCCAGCACCAAAATCAATAGCAGAGCATCAGCTCTCAGCTAGTCGCGCCCTTCGTCGCAGGGTGCCAAATTGTAGATCTGTACATGCTGCCAACGTCTAGTGACTCTGCATTGGGGCCACGTGTTTCTTTTGTGCGAGTCTGACAGGGCGATGCAGTTCACTACTACAATCTACGTAGGCCTACTAAATGCTTAAGTCACCATGCTAGTCAAACAGCAGGCAAGGGTGTCGCTTTCACTCGGCTGAACTGCGTGTACATGGATAAAGGGGCCTGGGCAGAAAAGTGAGGTATTGAGAGCACAGCTTCACTGGGACAACCACTGAAGCTATCAATCACCTAGCAATTGGGTTTGAACTTCATCATCTTCATCTCACATACGAGGGTAGCCGATATCTGGATGATACACTCTGGATACCAACCATGGATTCCGGAACAGGAAGAAGCCGGTCGGCGACATGCTTGGTTTGATCCTTCCCAACAGCCATGATCATCATTATCTAGAGAAAAAAACTTGCGTCCTGCCCAAACAGCAAGTGGAGCTCATTCACGATAATCACGCGAAAAAAACACCAGATTTTGACCCCAGCTGCCTTCAGTTTGGCTTTGGCCGCGCAGCTCCTGAACGTTGAAGCTAAGGACGATGATTGTTGCCAGAAAAAAAGTGTAGCCTGGCCATCCCTGGTCCATTGTATGATTTCAATGCCATCCAAATGGTACAACTGAGTTGGGGCATCATTCATTGTTGATAATTGAAGTACATGGCGTTCCCTTTAATTGCCAGGGCCTCTCTCAGGGTTTGCCCTGAATGTGCCCATAACTTCCACCACCCTGGCATACCGCACAACCATTCCCTGAGCGAAGCATCCTTGGTCGATGATAGAAGCTTTGAAGCTTCCCAGGGCATTCCACATAACCTTGGCATCCGCACAAATGGGATGGGGGTGACAAAATCATCGGCGAAAATCGAACATACATTACATTACACTACCATCACCATCACCATTACCATTACCATTATAGTACCATTACATTGCCATTACATTACATTACATTACATTGCCATTACATTACATTACATTACATTGCATTACATTACATTACCAGTACCATTACCATTACTATTACCACTACCATTACCATTACCATTACCATTACCATTACCATTACCATTACCATTTCCATTACCATTACCATTACCTTACAATTACATTACCATTACATTACCATTACATTACATTACATTACATTACATTACATTACATTATACTACATTACGTTATACTACATTACATTACATTACCATCACATTACCATTACATTACCCTTACATTACCATTACATTACCATTGCATTACCGTTACCGTTACATTACCCTTACATTACATTACATTTACATTTACATTTACATTTACGTTTACATTTGCATTTGCATTTACATTTACATTACCATTACATTCCCATTACATTACCCTTACATTACCATTACATTACCATTACATTACCATTACATTACATTAACATTTACAGTACATTACTTTACCATTACTTTATCATTACTTTACATTACATTACTATTACATTACCATCACATTACCATCACATTACCATTACATTACCATTACATTACCCTTACATTACCATTACATTACCATCACATTACATTACATTACATTACCGTTATTGTTACATTACCATTACATTACATTACATTTACATTTATATTTACATTTACATTGCCATTACATTACATTACATTTACATTATATTTACATTAAATGTAGATTACATTGCACGACATTACATTACATTATATTGTATTACATTACATTACATACATCTGTGTCAAAACTCTATAAAATATATATATATATATATAATATACATATATTATAGATATGCATGTGCGTGCGTGAATGTGTGTCATTTATCCCGCTTGCTTTGTCCAGCCAACTTTGGGTATAGTCACAGCAGAGGAAGCCACTAAATTCCCCACAGCTCCAACGATGTGCCCCCCATTGGACACACAAAAATGGTAGAAATATCAGGTAAATAGCCCCAAATAGTGATGAATCGCTACTGAAACGGTACCCTCCCAATTAAACATAGGGGTTGATTAATCCGGGCTTGACATTACTGGGTTAATGCTCACAAGGGACCGTCCTTCTCTTCTGGGAGCATAGCAGGTACTGGATCCTTGCAGCTGACACCCGATCCAGAAGGTGTGCGATGCTTCCACTGAAGCGCTTCAGCAACAAAGGCTGGTTGGTTATTTCGGCGTTCAACGCAACCAAAAGTATCCACAGGAAATCATCCTACAAAAGGGCAAAATATGTTGGTCATATCCTACTTGTTCTGGGGGGATCTGGCTTTAAAAAAAACACATCTTGTTGATTGAAACCTCCAACTGACCATCACTGCACCTCCTTTGGACACCTCCCAGAATTGGATCAGGAAAAGTGTTATACACCAATTGCAACTTCAACCATCATTTCTCATTTCTGGATGGGTGTTCCTGACCATGTGTTTAACAAATTCCAGCGAAGTGGTACCAAGTCTCGACAATGTCCGGCACCGGGTTCCGACCCAGGTGCTGCAGGTAGTCCGCCAAATGCTCGGCTTCAAGGTCGGCACGGCCTAGAAGGAACCGCTGAGCCAACCAGTTGTGGTAGACTCTGCTAAGACCCAATAATAAACCATCCCCCGTTTTGGATGTATGATTGGGTTATCCATGTTATCCATATTTGGGTTGCTGGGATGGTTATCAGATTGGGTTTTGTCTGCGCCCTCCATGCAGACGAATCCGTCACGCCACACTCCCTACTTAGCCTTTATCATTGCCACACTACTTTTTCGGGCCTGCCAAAAAATGGAAGTTGATGGCAGTGAGCTAGCATCCCCCAAAATACCCTAGAATTCTAGAATTGAATTGCTTGAGAGCAAAGTAGTCTTACCCCTATTTGGCAGGGCCTATCTTAGTTGGGAAAAGCATTCAAAAGCAATGATTACAGTACAATGATTTTCCCTTCGCAATTTCTAGCAGTTTCTGGGTTTAACTTTCACGGTAGTACTCCTCAAGATCTTTAAGTTGAAAATATGGCCGGCCATGCCTGCTCGATCATGTCGCGACAAAGAACCAGGGACACATTTGCCCCAACTCTCCCAGTCAACTTTCAGGGGTACGATGTCACCTTGGCTGCAACACGGCAGAGCTGCTAAATCTCAAACTCTGAAGCCTGAATTCTGATGCAGTGACTGCACGAATCAGCTCAAGAGCTCAGGGCTAAGGATTTTCGGGGACCTTTGCAACAACAGCATGTAGTCAAATTGAATGGTCAATACCAGCTTTGGAGCCACCACAATCCACGATGCTTGAATCTGAACCTTTCCATTCATGGCCCCCTACCATCTTGCACAATTACCGCACAATATGGTACAATATGGTGCAATATGGTACAATATAGCATGTTAGTATGTCATGCTCACTACCCCAGTTCCCCACATAGATCCTGAGTGGCGCATGCCCGGGTTCTTCTCCCTCACCATGCGCGGGACCATGTCCTGCTCGTTGGCCCAAATGATCACCGCAATGCGCTTGCCGGGGGCAGTTCCCGGAGTCTCTGGAGGCACAGCATGTTTGAAGAGATTGTTAAAAGGCCTCAGTGTCATCATCATCATCATCATCAGGCCTCAGTGTTCAGTGACTGGTGGACTATGGTGGACTGCTGGACTGCTGGACTAGTGGACTGGTCTGACTGAACCGGACAAAAAAAAATCCCAAAATCTGGCATCGGTGGGTTCAACAAATGACGCGGTCGCGCATCTCACCAAATTCAACTGAGCTGCTCATCGAAAGCAAAAATGTCACCGTTTTCAGTCACAACCTGCAGGAAACTGAAGCCATCCAGGTCCATTCATTTGGGAACACTGTAAACATGTTATGTTGACATGTTTTTTAAAACCCGTAAACAAATAGTAAATAGTCCAATGTATTGGGACCTTGGTTCCAAATGTGAAACCCCATGGCTTAAAAATTCGAAGCCCCGCTTCAGGGAAGACCCGTGCATAGTCCGTGATATATGTTTGTCCAAAAAATGATCTGATAAGAAAACATAGATCACAGCCCAATGCACTGCCATTTGAATCGAAAAAACAATGATTAACCGATGGATTCGGATGGATTTGGAGCTCCTTCTTTTTGGATTGATCAATGACATATCATCATACATCATCATACATCATCCCGACCCAAACGGCCTGGTGCTCTTCATGGTTCACAGGGTTCTGGAAGGCGAAATGTCGTCCTTGGCCCAAACTGATCCCGATCGTGGCCTCGGTCGAAAGGTCCAGAACTTGGGCCACCAACAGGCGGTTTTGCCCAGAAATTCCGTTTGTTGATCAGCACCATGCTGTACTGAAAAAAATGCTTGGTTTTCATCAGAATTCCTTATATAATTACAACATATTACAACATGATAGCATACACTAAGCAGCAAGCTGGGAATATGCCTGTGCCAACTGTGAAGAAAAAGCTGGCTGCAGTGGGTGATCCAAGTGGCAGTAGCTCTCGGATGCCGATCCTGATAGTTGTCATGGTGCATGGACTTCATGTCATCCTCGCCGCTGTACCTAACGGAATGCGTGGCTGCAAATCCTTTGTGAGTTTTGTGACTGTGGCATTCGTGTTTGCATCTATTATATAGTAGAATCCCAATAGACTTATTCTACTTCTATCCATCCATCCATCCATCCATACATCTATCTGAACACACACTGTAGGCTCCAGGTGCTGTATAATATATTGAGTATATATACAACTGCATTCGCCCTCAATGGTTCGGCCCCATCCTGGATGGTCTGTTGCCTACCTCCACTTTCGCCAAGGCGCAAATTGGCCCAGCAGTCCACCAGTGTAAGATCAAATACGGCCAGGGCATGTTTCACCAGGCTAACCTCAAATGAGAACAAGCATGCATAAAATACCACTGACACTCTAATTGCAGGGCAAAAGTAAGGAAAGCAGTTTGGCTGAACCGAAGCAACCTTTTTCCACATTGTTCATGAATAGATTTTCTGTGTCTGAGATGCTGCACAGAACCAGCGGCATTCAAAAACGTAGCTCCATCCAAGCAACGAATGCAGGCGCCTCTGACAGCGATTCACCATAAGCAACTTTGTGCTTCTTGCTCCTGAGCTCTTACCAACCCCCGTTGCCAAGGGATGAAAATGATGAAAATGACCTACAGCCAAGGGGCCGGTGAAAGCCCAAGGCATCACCCTCCTTCTTGTAGCTGGCAGCCTCCATGGTAGCAACATCTACCGTGGTCTATCCATTCCGTGACACTGAAGAATACTCAAGACTCATGACCTACATGGCTGGGCATGGCCATGCAGCGCCTGGATCTCCCTTTCCACCTCGTGCATAAGGCGCCAATCGTCTTTGGCGCAGCAAATGTGTTTCAGGTGCATGCAACTTCCAGCCGGCGGCCGTTGCAGGGCCCTGCAGCGAGCCGGCGGAAAACCATGTTTGGATGACTGTCAGGCTTTCAGGCCTGAACTTCATCTGAGAGCAGGGGTGGAGGGGAGTGCCACTTGACCTTCCAGCTGGCATGATTGTTCAATTTGAACCTCGAGACAATCGCGGCATTTTTTCCCAAGCACTGGTTTCCATTGACTCATCATGACTCATGGATTCCCGTTCTAATCTACCTCATTGCACCTCGTTGTGTCGGAACACATGGGTTTTATGACCATCCCCCCATGGCAAAGCTGCCCCACAGAGGGCGGCAGGTGCCAGAGGTCCAGAGACGGAGCCTGGGGAGTGTGTTTGCCAGGCCCGATGGAAAGCGCTGCTGCGATCTCGCCAGCGCCCCGACATATTCCAAGGCGCCTAGCGCTTAGCGGCTTAGCGGGACTGTTCTGGGGATGTCATATACTACCCATGACTCAGCCCAGGACCATCAAGAAGGGAAGATGGGGGAAGATACAACTCACAACGGCCATCCCAACTGGTGATGGATCAATGATGAGGATGCAACATTCGCAACTTCTGAGCCATCTCCAGCCTGATTGAGGCAAATGCGGTCCAGCGTGGATGCGCATACCAGCCCGCTGCATTGCTCGCCAAAAGGTTTGGTTCATGTGATCCCGGACGCTTCCGGGGCAATTCTGGTTGGACTTTGCAAAGTGAAGTGGTGGGACCAGCGAAAGCAGGCTTCAGAAAGGTCTGTCATTGGAGATCATCATCCGAGATTCCGAGATTGGAAAAATGTGCTCTTCCTTCTGATCACTGGTCTGAGAGCATTTAAGCCTTTCTGGCATGCCTTGACCTCGAGCAACTACATGCTACGTCTATGGTACCCGAGGTCACAAACACTGAAAATATCCCAGAATCATGGAGGATGCCAGCAGAAATCCCCACCAGTCAAGGTCAAACGATCTCTGCAGGTCCTGGGAATTGCGGAATATCTCTGACATCACTAGGCATTCCACAGCATGTGTCGTTTGTATAGTAACATTCCACAACATTCCATAGCTGCCAAGCCATGATGCGCCAAGGATATCGCCTGACAAGACTCACCACTTGAAAGTGCCCAGCGAGGCCGATCTTTGCTGCCCTTAGTGAAAGCTAATGCAGCAAGCATTTCAAAATGCAGTTGTTCATTTTGGTCAATGCCATATATCATATGTCAACTCTTTCTCCCTCTCTCTCTATCTCTCGCTCTCGCTCTCGCTCTCCCTCTCTATCTATCTATATCTCTCTCTCTCTCTCTATCTTTCGCCATCTCAAGGGGTTCAGAGCTAAAGGCGGGATGTAACAAGTAAACTATGCATATACAGTATTATACATTCCTATTTCAACTGTTTATATCTACTACTGACTGCGAATGCGTTCAGCTGAGCAACGCAGGCGATCTTGTCGGCACCCACCAGGACACGCAAGTCACAGGGCCTCAGGTGCCATGGGATACCCTGATAGGTCAGTTGTGGAAAGTTGGTTTCAAAACCTACTGAGGTGACCTGCATCTAGTTTGGCCTCTTCCAGGATTTGCTGGCAAAATCGCTGGCACGGGAGGATAGAGGTGTTCTGGGTGACAAACAGTGTGGTAAGAAGATGCAGGCTGGTCGTTAGCTCACTCTTATACTCTGGGGCAAAGAGCACACAGGCGAACTGTTGTGGAATGCCTAGTACAAATGGCCGGCGCACTGCTGGCAAGTGCGCGATATTCATGAGCTGGGAGCCGCCCAAGGTCTTACCAACTTTAACAATAGCACGCACATCTAGCTGGATGTCCTCCATGTGTAGCATTGCTCGAGGTGTTCCAGGAACAATGTTCCAGCTGCGAGGGAGGAGATGCTGCACAGCAGTGTTGAGGCCTGGGAGGAGCATAACTTGCATACCCTTTACCTGAGTGCGGTGCCAGGCAGGCTGGGTATTGGTAGCACGTCTGGGACGGTCCTTATGTCCTACCAGTCCACAGAAAACAAAGTGGAGGCAACCTGCTGCATTACCCAGCGGTGTGTCGTTCCCCAGAGACCCAGTGGCCTCCAGGGAGCTCGTAGCAGGATCAGTAGGTGTGGTGATGAGTCCATCGTAGAGGCAGCAACACCTTCAGCGGCAATGACCGGGGAGTCTGTCGAGTACTTACATACAAAGGCCAAAACCGTACCCTCATCCAGATTCAATTGGATTGAGCTCTGGTAGTCATCATACCAGTTCTGAGCCGAATAGCGGGCATCATAACATGGTATCCAAAAGGCAATGGGCTCTCTTGGGTTGGAGAACTCGAACCAGTACTCATGTAGCTGTTCATGCCCTCTAGCAATAGAAGTAACTGTGACTGCGAGGCCATCCAATGATGCTCGGCTGACCATTGGGGTGGATGCAATGGCAGTTTCACCTTCAAAGGTAAGCTGGGGCAGGAAGGCATGGATGAGGACCGTGAGAGCTTTGAGTGGCAATGGACGCAGTGATGCACGGGCAATGACATTAAGCCATGGGATGGACGTTCTGGGCCCTAAAGAGATGTTGAATTTCTGCAGAACTTGATCCTTGACTTGGTTCTCAGTCAAGGCTGCATTGGTAACTGGGGGAGCTAACTGGAGTTCGGATGCAACCCTAGCACAAAAGGCAGTGTTATCCATGTCCAAAATGTCGATGACAAAGCTTAGGTCCAAGTTCGTACTGTACTCATGCTCTGCATCCAACTCGCAAGACGGAGGGGAAGGCGCAGCCTTTCCTTTTCAGGGCGGAACTCTACTAGCGTCTTGGCCAATGTGGTCTCGTCACAAGTACCTTCAGGTAAGACTGTGTCCAGGAGGTGAACATAGTCATGTTGATCATCGGACATCCATCTTGCAGTGCCCTGCACCAGGGTGAAGTGTGTGCGCTGCATGAGCCATTTGGCAGTTTCTGTGGGTCTCCATCGACACAATTTGTCACCCAAAAAGTGAACAATGCTGATATGATGTCGAGGTTCAGTGGGGAATGTGAGGGCAGCGAGATGACTCAACTGTGCAAACGCTGATTCACTCATTGCAATTCCCCCCAAATTGAGCTGCAGGCGAAAAGACTGGCTGATTCGGCTTGCGACAATACCTAATGCCGCTCCAACGTAACTACCCGCACTGAAGCCCCGTACCACGAGCTGTCTGATGGCGAGAAAGGACTAAGCGCACAGGGTTTGGGTGCATAGCAGCAAGCTTCCAAAAGACTCCTGCATCAAACTCTGCGTGCGGATCTAGCCGGTGGGCCGGGATACGCTTGGCAGCTCTAGCAACTTCAATTGACCTGTGAACGATGGTGCATGCGTCTATTGCAAGTGTGAGCGCTTTCCATCCCTCTGCTTTCACTAACTGGTGCATATCGCACATACAGCAGTTTGGCAAGCAAAAAAACATTGTTTTCATTTTTTTAGAATTGTACTTCAAATGTTGAGACCATTTTTTTTAGTTTCCACAGGATTGTACTTTGACTTTCACCCCATTGTGTGGATGTTTTCCCAAAAAAGATAAATGCCAACGAGCTCTACCAGTGACAGTAAAGTCGGCGACTCTAATTCAAGAAATTCAGGGGCTGGAACGCTGGGTTCCCATCCGGTTGCTGGTTAAAGGTCTCCAGCTCCGCTCGGACAAAAGAGTTGGAGTGTCTGCCATGTCGCCGTGTTGTTCGGGTGTTGTTGTCGCAGTAGGGTGTGGGTGAGGCGTTGCAACATTGTTGGCGGGATGCCTTCTTCTGAGTTTAGTTCGAGTTTGTCTTGGGAATGGATCGTTTCGTCACGATTGGGCGTCGTATGATGCGTTGGTCGTTTTTGGGTTCATCCCCTTCGCCCCTCTAGGCTGCGGGTTAAATTGTGTATGTCCGCCCGGAGTCAGGTTCATTCGGTTTTTGAAGAATAATTTTTGGTTAAAACCGATGAATTCTTTGTTCACATTGGAGAAGAATTTCAATTTTATGACCGCGAGAAGCCTCGAGATGCAAAACTTGGGTTTTACCCTAGTTTTGTATTAGTTTTATTGATCCAAGTTTCGGAGTCTTGCCGGAGTCCGGCGGATGGAGCACCTGCTGGAATCTTATTACAATAGAAAGAGTTGGAAGAGTTCTAGCTTTGTGACTCAGACTGACTCCGCAAGACAGAACAAGATCATCCTGAGTGCTCAACATTTCGTCACAATGACCTACTGTACAGCATTCTGGCATGCTCCCCACCTGGAAACAGCCTGGCCAGGCGTGAAAAGGCGCCCAACAGGCTGCTGCCAAGGCAACAGAAGCTGCTGCCAGGGCGCCGGGGAACATTTGAAGCCCATTTCGTGCCTGACGTTGCTTTCTGAAATGAGAAGAAAAAAGGCTTAAAGCTGGGAACAGCCTGGCAAGGTGCCCAACAGGCTGTTGCCAAAGCAACAGAAGCTGCTGCCAGGGCGCCGGGGAACATTTGAAGCCCATTTCGTGCCTGACGTGGCTTTCTGAAATGAGAAGAAAAAAGGCTTAAAGCTGGGAACAACCTGGCAAGGCTCCCAACAGGCTGCTGCCAAGGCAACAGAAGCTGCTGCCAGGGCGCCGGGGAACATTTGAAGCCCATTTCGTGCCTGACGTTGCTTTCTGAAATAAGAAGAAAAAAGCCTTGAAGCTGGAAACAGCCTGGCCAGGCGTAAAAAGGCGCCCAACAGGCTGCTGCCAAGGCAACAGAAGCTGCTGCCAGGGCGCCGGGGAACATTTGAAGCCCATTTCGTGCCTGACGTCGCTTTCTGAAATGAGAAGAAAAAAGGCTTAAAGCTGGGAACAGCCTGGCAAGGCGCCCAACAGGCTGCTGCCAAGGCAACAGAAGCTGCTGCAAGGCTGGTGGGCTTCTGCTGCCAAGGCAACAGAAGCTGCTGCCAGGAAATGAGAAGAAAAAAGGCTGCTGCCAAGGCAACAGAAGCCGCTGCCAGGTTGCGGCCAACACAACAGAAGCTGCTGCCAACAGACGCTGCTGCCAGGAAATGAGAAGAAAAAAGTCTTGAAGCTGGAAACAGCCTGGCCAGGCGTGAAAAGGCGCCCAACAGGCTGCTGCCAAGGCAACAGAACTGCTGCCAGTGCGCCAGAAGACATTTGAAACCCAGACAACCTTTTTCTTTGACGCGCTCCCCCTGCTACTCGCTGGGGTCGGCGGATATATATACATGTATATACACACACACAC